TGTAATGCATGTGCTTGGTATTCTTGTGCAAACACCTAACAGTACATTTAATATCCTTCTGTGTACTATGTTAATTAGACACTTTCAAAATATTTGTAATAAATATCTCTGTAAACGTGATGTAGAGAAGAATTTCAGGGGAGCTTGAAAAATGTAATTTCCAGACTAGTATTTCTTTAAATTCATTCACAGGATGAGGGTATCACTAGCTAGGCCAGCATTTATTGCCCATTAGGCAGTTAGGAGTCAACCACAATTCCGTGGTTCTGGAGCCACTGAATGAAGGCCAGATCTGGTTGGTAGTTTCCTTCCCTAAAGAATATCAGTGAATCAGATGAGATTTTCCCCTGTCAATGGATTAATGGCCATCAGGTTTAATTCTGATAAATTTGAGGTGCTGCATTTCAAAAAGGCAAATCAGGTTGGGACTTATACACTTAATGCTAACCTCCTGGAGAGTGTTGCTGAACAATGAGACCTTGGAGCGTGGGTTCATTGTTCGTTGAAAGTAGAATTGCAGGTAGACAGGATTTGGAAGAAGGCATTTGGTACAGAATCATAGAGATATACAGCACAGAAACAAACCCTTCGGTCCAACTTGACCATGCCAACCAGATATCCTAAATAAATCTAGTCCTATCGGCCAGCATTTGGCCCATATCTCTCTAAACTTTTCCTATTCATATACCCATCTAGATGCCTTTTAAATGTTAATTGTACCAGGCTCCACCACTTCTTCTGGCAGTTCATTCCATACATGCACCACCCTTTGCATGAAAAAGTTGCCCCTTAGGTCCCTTTTAAATCTTTCCCTTCTTACCTTAAAACTATGCCCTCTAGTTTTGGACAACCCATCCTGGGGAAAAGATCCCTTGTCTATTCAGCTATTTTTGCCTCTCATGATTTTATAAACCTTTATAAGGTCACCCTTGGCCTCCGACACTCCAGGGAACATAGCCCTGGTCTATTCAGCCTTTCCCTATAGCTCAAACCCTCCAACCCTGGCAACATCCTTGTAAATCTTTTCTGAACCCTTTAAAGTTTCACAACATCCTTCCTATAGCAGGGAGACCAGAATTGCACACAGTATTCTAATAGTGGCCTAACCAATCTCCTGTACAGCTGCCACATAACTTCCCAACTCCTATACTCAATGCATTGACAAATAAAGGCAATCATACCAAACGCCTTGTTCACTATCCTGTCTACTTGCGACTCCATTTTCAAGGATCTATGAACCTGCACTCCAAGGTCTCTTTGTTCAGCAACACTCCCCAGGACCTTACCGTTAAGTGTGTAAGTCCTGCCCTGATTTGCCTTTCCAAAATGCAGCACCTCACATTTAGCTAAATTAAACTCCATCTGCCACTCCTCAACCCATTGGCCCATCTGATCAAGATACCGTTGTACTCTGAGATAACCTTCTTCACTGTCCACTACACCTCCAATTTTGGTGTCATTTGCAAACTTACTAACCATACCTCCTATGTTCACATCCAAGTCATTTATATAAATGATGAACAGCAGTGGACCCAGCACCAATCCTTGTGGCACACCGCTGGTCACAGGCCTGCAGCCTGAAAAGCAACCCTCCACCACCACCCTCTGTCTTCTACATTCGAGCCAGTTCTATATCCAAATAACTAGTTCTCTCTGTATTCTGTGTGATCTAACCTTGCTAACCAGTGTACCATGAGGAATCTTGTCAAACGCCTTACTGAACTCCATACAGATTGCGTCCACCGCTCTGCCCTTATCAATCCTCTTTGTTACTTCTTCAAAAACCTCAATCAAATTAGTGAGACACGATTTCCCACGTACAAAGCCACGATGACTATCCCTAATCAGTCCTTGCCTTTCCAATACATGTAAATCCTGTCCTGTGCTTGCCTTTATTGGGCAATGAATTGAGTATAGGAGTTGGGAGGTCATGTTGCGGCTGTACAAGACATTGGTTAGGCCACTTTTGGAATACTGTGTGCAATTCTGGTCTCCTTATAATAGGAAGGATGTTGTGAAACTTAAAAGGGTTCAGAAAAGATTTACAATGATGTTGCCAGGGTTGGAGGGTTTGAGCTATAGGGAGAGGCTTGCATAGGCTGGGGGTATTTTCCCTAGTGCATTGGAGGCTGAGGGGTGACCTTGTAGAGGTTTATAAAATCATGAGGGTCATGGAAAGGGTGAATAGCCAAGGTCTTTTCCTGGGGTAGGGAAGTCAAAAACTAGAGGGCATAGGTTTAAGATGAGAGGAGAAAGATTTAAAAGACACCTAAGGGGCAACTTTTTCACGCAGAGGGTGGTGTGTGTATGGAATGAGCTGCCAGAGGAAGTGGTGGAGGCTGGTACAATGACAACATTTAAAAGGCATCTGGATGGGTATATGAATAGGAAGGGTTTAGAGGGATACTGGAAAATGGGACTAGATTTGCTTAGGATATCTGGTGGGCATGGATGATTTGACTGAAGGGCCTGTTTCTATGCTGTACGGCTCGATGATTCTATTAGACTGTTAATTCCAGATTTTTATTGAATTCAATTCCACCATTTGCTATAGCAGGATTCAGACCTGGATCCCCAGAACATTACTCCGGTGTCCAGTCATAATACCACTTGGCTATTTCTTGGACCCTGATAGGACTCAAGTCGACCTATCGAGAATCTGTACATGGATTTAGGAGAAGGAACATGATCAGGTATCCTGGAATGAAATGTCATGAACACAGTGATAGGGAAGGAGTGAGACTGGGTGCTATCCTGGAGTGATATGATGTGAATACAGTAATACGGGAATGAGTAAATGAGCGTTAAAGCGATCACTTACCGATCACTGGATTACTGAACTCGGGTCACCAACAATGGTTCCGATTATTGTGTTTTCTTTTTAAAAAGCATACGTTCTACGGCAGTTAGAAGAAGGGGATGTTTTAGGTGGAGCTTTTGGAGCGGTGAGGTACCCTTTCCTGCAGACTAAGTTAGCGGTGAACTGGTTGAATTTTCAATACAGTCAGGCAGAATCACCTGGGACTTATCAAAGATGCAAAATTGTGGTTCCAGAATATCCTAAAGTATTTGACAATTGTGGGACTTGTTGACGAGGTCTGACAACGGACAGATAATCCCTCTTGCAATCATTTAACGGCATATGTACAATACAATCAAGGGTCACCACATGGACCGAGGGAGATTGGGGTTAGGGTTCCTTGGGGTCAATTCGTAGGGTTAGCGATTGTTCTCGCGGTTCAGGGTTTGCGATTGTTCTCGCGGTTCAGGGTTTATTTTTGAGGAAGTGGCTGTTGTTGGGGTTTGGGAAGATTGTAGCTCTTTAGGCCGCGGTGATAGAGTGAGAGAGTTTCTGTGTGGGCACTTTCCTTCTGTCTTGATATTTTCACTCACAAGACTACACTGAGTTTCCTTTTTAAATCTGGTTTAAAGCTTTCTACCAGATCTTGTCGTGTGTTGCTGCTTAGTTGTTGCTGGTGTAGTGGTGATTTACTGGAGCGTGTAATCCAAAACATCCAGGCTAATTCTCTAGGGATGCAGGTTGAAATCCCAAATGGTGGATAATGGGATGTCAGTTAGTGCTGTACATTCCCAAAATTATATATACCAAATAATTAGCTATACGATTAATGTTTAGAATACGAAACTTGTTTCTGAACAGAAGTTATAATTGTTTTTTTACGTAAAATGTACAAAAATTATTACATTCCTAATTCATATAAATGAAGATTTTTTACGTGTGGCCAAAGGTCTATAGTCGGATTTACTGGACGGTAAAGTCGGAGGGTAGTCCTCGGGATCCAAGTGGGTTGCAGGCGAGAAAGTTCTGGGATTGCCTCCCCGATAATGGTTGATCTGACATTCCGCTTCATTGACCCATCTTTCCTTTATGTCCAGTCATACCCTTACACCGAGAGCAACAGCTATCCCGCACAGAGAAATCCAGCACTCTCCAGGCTGAGAGCTGCAACCGATTCCTCAACATCCCCAGAGGCTGCGAGTTCCAGATTCCGATATTCCTTGTGTGAGAAGGACTCCCTCATTTCACTCCTGAGCAGTTATCCTTGCGTTTAAGATAAGAGCCTTGCTCTGGACTCCACCCAGCAGAGGGCTACATCCAGCCTCACAAATCAACAGGACCCAAGAACCTGCCCCTGTTTCTCATGTTCTTTCTTGAATCCATAGAGGATGGCCTTACTTTTCCAAATTGGGACGAGAGTGCCCAAGTTAGCTCTAATGAGAAATAATGTACTGCACCGAGATACAGCAAACGTCGTACAAGTGTTATTTTTCATTTCGGAAATTTATCTTTAACGTTGAGAATATTTCCATGGAGCTGTGGTGTTGTAATGAGGACTGAACTATCATCAGGGTGTTTCATACAACCGGGGGCCGGAGGGGGTGGGTGGTTCCATCACATTCAGCCTTGGAACTTATATCACCCTATCCTTCACTGAAACTGACTGTCCCTACACCACGGACTGAGAGAGCGAGCAAGGCGGCTCACCACCACCTTCTCTGGGGGCAATTAAGGATGGACAATAAATGCTAGCCCGGCCGGAAACACACATCCGTCCAGTGGTGGAAAAAAACACACAATTATTGACAGTTTCCACATTATTTTTACTGCCCTACGCTGCTGTTAAATTGTGCATTGTTAACATTCTAGCTGGCAATAGGCATTGAGAAGAAGGAGGATGTTGGATTGATGACAATGAAATCTTATTTCGCCGCTCGCCGGGTTCGCCTCTGGGCTAAAGGACAGACATTTGCACGGCCAAGTAAATATTCCTTACACTTCGTTTTGTTTTAAACGAACGGTGAATTCCGTCTCTATGCATGACATGTATTTGAAATTATTTATTCTCCCGCAGCTGAGGTTTGGTCTTTGAAAGGTGGAGGGAGGGGGTGTGGTGCCTTTTGGAAGATTTCCCAACGCGTGGCGAGTGAGTGATAGACAGGCGAGGAGGGGCCGAGTGGCTAAGGGGGCGGGCTGACTATTACAAGGTATAGCGCTGACAGTGAGTAAGGGTGTGTGTGCAGGCTTTACAAAGGGACGGTTGATTTTCTGTCCTCATCGCTGGGTCTTGGGGGGAAAGCTTCAGATCCGCGCATTTTCAAAGTGGATTCCTGTTTATAAAGAAAAACTCACATAGTCTGGCGAGAGGAATCCGAGATGCAGGACTGCAATGGAGTGGAGAATGGTAGGTTTTTCTTTACTAGGTATTTAAATAAACTACAGGGGCTGGTTGGTAAAGCACAGTAATGATGGGTTTTCTGGTTTGAAATTTATCAATTCAAGGGAAATGGCGTGGAATATTCCAATGATAACGAGGCCAGCAAGATCACTGACATTTGCCGCACCACCAGCCCGGCTGAGTTATCAGTTTTTTTTCCCTCTAAGTCGTGCTGTGTGAAGTATATAATGTAGACAAACAGGAGGCTGGAAGAAGACAGCAAGCCAGGCAGCATCTCTGTTATGTCTCTGTCACTTAGAGCACAACCCAGATCTGGTGCGCGCACACTCTCTCTCTCGAAGTTGACATGCATGTCTCAGGTAAAAGATCCTATTATCAGGACCGAATGGACTGTGGCGGTTCAAGAAGGTTTCCTTCTCGAGGGCAACAGGGGATGAGCGATAAGTGTTGGCTCAGCCAGCAACGCCCATGTGCCATGAATGATTTTTGTTTTAAAAAAGTCGCCCTGCCGTCTCCTAGGGCGTGGAAATGTGTGCATATGTTTACAGAAATATGTCAGAATACCAGTGTTTTTCATTAGTGCAGTAGAGACATTGTGAAAGCCTGATTAACGTGCAGCTCCACTGTTTTGGCACACTGCTACTTTCAGGGATAACGTTTAGATATTCCCTACGTTAGAATTCGCTTTGCGTGTCTGTGTTTTACAAATGTATCGTTCCTTTTGCTAAACAAGTCTATAGGACAGTAAGTGACCAGCACCCCGCCTGGCAAGTCAGTCTTTTAGATTCTTAACAGTTTTTTTTTCATGTTTTCCCTTTCTCCCTCACTGCGATGGGACAGATCACAAGCTCTCTGTCACGGGAGTCCAATCGCCTACCCCTCCCCCCACCTCCCCGGGGGAAGAAAAGCATGTTTTTGCTGTATTTATCAGATATCTTTGTGTTGGAATGGAGGGAACGCAGATTGGATTTGTAATGCTGCTCGCTGCTTGACCCTGAAAATCTGATCTACATCATTAAATGATACTGCACAGGAGGAGGCCATTCACCTTTCATGCTTGTGCTGCCACTTTAAAGAGTCGTCTATTGACTTTCACAGCCTCCTCGATATGAGCCTTTAAAAGATCTATTCTGATTATCCAGCTGGTAGATTTAAAAGAAGCACAAGGGTTGGGTTTGTGCATCTGGTTCGTATGTACTATGGTGGGAGAGCCACCAAAGACTAGTTGGAATAAAAATCGAAAGAACTGCGGATGCTGTAAATCAGGAATAAAATCCGTTCTGAGGAAGGGTCACCGAACCCGAAACGTTCACTCTGTTTTTTACTTCCCAGGTGCTGCCAGACCTGCGGTGCTTTTCCAGAAGACTAGTTGGAACTTTTTTTGAAGTCAGAACTGCCCCAGCTGATTGCTGGGGCGTGTACCTGTTGGTGTTCGATCATTTTCTTTCAGACAACATTATCGTTAGCGGCGTGACCTCCCTTTATAATAGGTTGTGCTCAATCATCAACATGTCTAGATCCATAATGCATTTGTTGCAGGTATTTTCAAACCAACCTGTTCAGAGACGTTATTGTACACGACTAGAGCAGGTAGTGCATGAACCCAGCTGTCCTGGCTCAGAGGTTGGGAAACTAGCACAGCACCACAAGAATCCTAATGCTTGCAAATACAGGAGCACTGACAAACAGGGCTATACCT